AATAATTAAAGTTATTCTTCATGATAAATTTTATAATATTCTATTATAATTAATATTATTAAAAGTAAATATTAATAAGATTATCAAAGATTAATGATAAAATTAAAAATTACAAATTTTAACTTATAAGTAACCTTAAATTATTTATTATATAATTAGAATATATTTATAAAAAAATTTTTTTAAAATTTTAATTTTTTATAAAAATAAATCAAAAATAAATTTATAATAAATTAGCAGATAAATTTACTTGTAAAATTTTACATTTTAAGAGATAATATAAATACTTATTTTATTTTATATACTTAAAGCTTTTATAAATCAAATTAAGTCAAATTATAAGTAAAAAAAACATTAATTTTTAAAGTATTTTTATAGCTAAATTTATATTTAAAATGAAAATTATTAATTATATAAGTTAAAATTTAAATTTACATAAATTATTTAAAGCTTAAATATATCTATTATATAAAAAAAATTGGTAATTAATATTATTATACAAGTTTATTAAATTATAATTTAAAATATTAAAACTTAATATTAGATTTAATATAAATATTTTAAAATATTTAAATAAAAGATATATTATATTTAAATTATTAATATAATCTTATTAGAATAGATTATATGAATAATAATTATTTATTTAATTTTTTTAGAAAATTTTTATTAAATGCATTATGCATTTGATATATTCATACATAATGTAATATATATGTAACATTTAACCAATAATATGTAACATCTAATCTTAATTAATTTTAACTAATCCTAATCCTAATCCTAATAAATAAGATTTTACCACTTAAAAAAACTAATTCTTCTGAATAAAAAGTAAAAATAGAAACTTGAAAGATATAATATAATGTGACAAATATTTTATTATAATCACATGCCTGAGGGTATATCAAATATACAGGTATACTGTTTAAATTTTCTTTTAATATATCTTTAATAATAAAATTAAAATAATATTATGATTATAAAATTTAATATGTAATTTATGGTTAAAAAGAAAATCAATTCTTTTTTATTTCTAAAAAAATGGTTTAACAAATTAATAATAATACAGTTTCATTAAGAAGTTTTTTATAAATTAGCTTAAAAATATTTTCCTTAAATACTAATATCTTTAATCATATTAAGGTTATATAAATAAAGAAATCATAATTAAGTATAATATAACTATATAATTATTAGGTGTGATTGTATATTAAATTTAATTTCTAAATGAACTTACTATTAATCAGGTATACTAAAATCATAAGGTTTGCTATGAAATGCTATAAAACATTAATTATTAAGGTAAATTATATTATAATTATGTTCGAATAATTCTTGAAAAAAAAATAATTTACCTTCTTGTTCGCCTATTAAAAAGAAAATTAATATTTTTAATCTAAGTATTAAAATAATGAAATTTTATATGATTACTATAATATAACTTACCTTCACACGCGTTTATTGGCTCTGGTAAGTTTTCAAATTGATAAAATTTACTTAAGTTAGAACTTGAACTTTGAGAAATTTTCGACGGAACGTTACATTCTAGAGTATTAAATTCATTTATATCATTATCAGTATAAAAATTTCTCCATAATTTTTTAATTTCGTTACGAAGAGTATGTAAATTAGGTCTGTTTAATGGATTGGCATCCCAACATTGTCTCATTAATCTTTCATATTCGGAAGGAATTCTTGATACGATTTCAGGTCTCATACCATTAATTATTCTCTCAACAAGATCATAATTATGTTCATAATTATTACAAGGTCGTTGTCCTGAAAAAATTTCCCACATAAGTATGCCAATGCTATAAATATCAGATGCCTTGGTGGTTCCTTTCCCGACTATAACCTCGGGCGCTATGTAGGGAAGATTGCCGTATATACTATTTAATGGTTTATCTGCTGGTCCACAGAATCCAAAATCACTTATATACCAAGTATTATTATATTGTAAATATAAAATGTTTCCTGAATGTAAATCTCGATGAATTTCATTATTTTCATGAATCGTATAGAGTGCGTCAATCATATTATAAGCTATTTGAATTCTATTTTTCCGTCCAAGTCGTTTATGATTTTGTTGTAAATATGTTTTTAAATCTGTATCCATTGGATGCATTACAAGCATGTAGTTTCCATCTGATGTATCTTGGGTTAGACCATAACACTTAACAAATCCTGGCCATTTATTAGTTAAATTTAAATGTGAATTTGCCTAATAAAAATAATATTTTTTTGTTTAAAAAAAAAAAAAAGGATTTTTTTTTGTTAACGAATCGATAAATTTCTAATAAATTTGAGAAAATATACCTCTTCAAACCAATTCCTGTTAGCACTTTTAGCATTCTCTAACTTTTTGAGTATTACTTTATGCATTCCTAATCTTTTTAATCGTCGTTCTTTAGAATCCCATTCAGAATATGAACCATCAACCCAATCAGCAGAATAAATTTCAGAGCATCCACCCCTAGTCAAAAACTTAACATTTTGTAACTTATTATATGGTATCCATTCAAGTATTTTTCTCGGTCGAAGAAATTCTATTTGACATCGTTGAATTAACTTATCAATATCATTATTTCCTGACGTCCAGCTTGAAAAATTGATTTTTAAATAGTTTCGAATACAATTTTCACAATATAAAGTGGCCAAACATTCTTGTCGGCATTCTTCACAAAACCTTTTTGTACCTTCATTATAAAGAATTTTATTATGATTATAACTTTTAGTTAATATTACTATTGCCATTGATTTTTCATCTATCGAAAGAGATTCATCAAGAAGAATCGTTTGTTTTTTAAATTCATATTGTTTGGTTAAGTCATTGTGAATATCACTATCCAATAACGCATTGGCCCTATCAAGTGCAGCGTTAATTAATTCTTTTCTAATAGAAGCCATCATAAAAATTTTGAAATAAAAAAAAAAAGTGATAACTAATCACCGTAGATCATCATTTTATTTTTATACAGCATTAATGATGATTATATGCTAAGCCAATACTAACGATACTAATAAATCATGGGTTTTGATTTTTGCGGCGTAGTAAGACCAATAAATAATAATTTATATAATAATTACTTCTTATGAAAACGTTACTTGTAAGTCCCTCGGGGTGTTTCAGTTATTAATTCTAATGAACCAGTCTTGTTGCGCCACGAAATGTGAGGATTGCAGATTTTTTTTCACTATTTCAAATTTTGACGTGTTCATTGCATTACTGTCAGAATAAATTATATAAATTTTAATGCAGTAATAATTTGGGCCAAATTTATTACGAAATCCAAGCATGCCCAAGAATGTCGTCTTTCATTTTTTTTCTTTAACGGAATGGATCATTTTTACACAAGATTTCTTGCAACTATATATATATATATATGATCTACTCATAAAAACTTCAGAATCTTTTTTAAAAATAATTTATTTATTATTCTTTTATTCATTTTTGGGGGGGAACAATGTAAAATTTTTCTATTTACATAATCGGAATTAGTTGCAATAAAAAAATAAAAAATAAAAAAAAAAAATCGAAGACGAGATTTTAGAAACTTTAAAAAAAAAAAAAAATTGGCAAATGGGATGGAGATATCAAAAAAAGGATTATTATATAAAAAAAAAGGATTTTACAAAAATTATTCGAATGTATCGGGGCTCCAGCGGGAATTGAACCCGCGGCCTCTCGCACCCAAAGCGAGAATCATACCACTAGACCATAGAGCCATATCTTAGTTAAAATATTTATTTATTATAAAATATTTATTAGTTTCTTTGATGCGTGTTACATATATACAACACGCACATATGTTTGGCAAACAAAAAAGTGAATTCTTTAAAAATAATGTTTGTTATTCGTAATACTTCAGACGTGGATGAAATATGTCGGACTTTTTGCTTAGCATATTGATATTTATGGCATGAAGGTAATGTCCAATGAAAAAGATTTAAATTAACATTTAGATATTTTACAAGTCTTGTCCAAATTTAAAATTTTCAAAAGTTTTTTGGTATTTGTAATGTATTATGATTATGATGTACATGTGTAGCGGTTTCAAAAAAAAAAAAGTACTTCACATTTGTGGAACTGTTTTATAATTTTCTGCAGGACTGATTTCCTTACAAGGAAAATTTTAATTCCAAAAGAAAGGTTGATCATTCGAAAAGACAAAATTAACTAATCGAAAAAGTTCTACTTTATAAGCTTGCAAACACTTGTAAATTTAGCTGTGAATAATATACCATAACCTATATATTAATACGTTACCGAAAGAATATATATAAGCCAGTAATACCTAAGTAATTACCAATCACTAATTTTCGCATAATCCCATGTAATTTGACGTAGTTATTACCTTTTATTTTTTATAAAAAAAAAAAAACCTAATTGAAAATCGTTCAGAATTCTTTAAATTCAGTTTTACATGATTTACCATTTCGATTTTTATCAATACAAAAATAAATACAATTAGAAGGATATTTAAAAGTAAAATCAAAAAGTATATCCAAACCCATAGAAATAAAAAAAAAATAATATCTCAGCGTGAACGTGCCAACAAACAATGTTAAAACTAAATTTTAGTTGCTTGGTTATGGTCGGAATACTGCTGGAAAAGATCAAATGAACCTTTAAATCATACGTGCATTAATAAGGTGTGGTAGTATAATGATATGGTATTGATTTTAGATTTTTTAGATTACGATTGTCAATTATTTTTAATTTATAATTTTGTTAATAAATAAATCCGAATTTTTGCATGATATTTTACTAAAGAATAAAATATATAATGTGCGGCTTATACAATTTATTTTATAAATTCGTTTATATTTTAAAATTTTTTTTTTTTTTTGTTTATTTATTTATTTATTTTTTTTTTTTTTAAAAAAAAAAATTTAATTTATCCAGAATGTCAAATTTTTAAATAAAAGAATATAAAATTCACCAAAATTAGTAGTAAAAAAATTTATAACATAAAATGTGACATTATGACCATTTCCTACTCCATATTTACCCTTTCTCTTGGTATTAATTTAATAATAATATCATTCTTTGCCATCACAGCAAATCTTTCTTCCTTTACAAAATCTTCCAATTTCATAGCCAATTCCACATTAAATTTTTGCATAATTAAGCAAATCATCATCTTAATATCAACCATAGCTAATTTTTCTGCAGGACATATTCTTGCTCCGAAACCAAAAGGACAATAGGCATTTGGCGTAAAATCTTTAATTTTATTATGTGAGAAACGTGTTGGATCAAATTTTTCGGGTTCTGAAAAAAATTCAGGATTTTCATGAAACAAAGGAATTGGATAAAAAAGTGTTGTGTTGGCTGGTACTTTAAAGCCCTTGGATTCTACAAGAGTTGGAAGTATGGTTTCGGATTTTAGTAATCTAGCGCAGAAAGCTGCTGGCGGATGAACTCTTAGAGATTCTTTGACAACTTGAGTTAAATATTCCATCTTGGAAAGATCTATTGAAGGTAATCTCATTATATTTAGGATCACGGTTTGTAGTAAATGTATTTACGGTTTAATTGTACTAAAATTTATTCATACCATCAAGAGTAGGTAAGCGACCTTCTAATGTTTTGTCAATTTCTTCTTGGAGTTTTGTTTGAACATTATGATTTTGTGTTAAGGACAAAATAGTATAAGGAATTGCAACACCAGTTGTATGAAATCCGGCCATTATAAAACCGGTAGCAGTAGATGTAATCTATCATTAAAAAACGCGATTATTAATATTCAAAATAAATTCTTTCCAACGTTAGATGTAGGAAATAAAATGAACATGCCAATTTATCGGTAATTGGTTTCTTTGTTTCGGGATCATTATTGGACATTAGGATATCAAGTAAATCTTTCAATCCGGTTTCCTCTTCATTTGTTTCTACAGCTTTCTTTCTTCTCTGGTCAATCAAGTTGCATGACAAACGTTTCAAAATCTCGAGAGACTGTTGGAATTCTTCTTCGCGTGGAATATTCAGTATACCAAATTGTTTATCATATAAACCACTTAATACGATGTCGTAAGACTTTTTATAGGCGCTTACATCAAGATCTTCCGGTCTATCCGTGCTAAAAGATTTATAAAAAAATTAAAGTTGTCATTTTGTAAAATAAATGCGATAATATATGTAAACATACCTGAGAATAACACTAAGAGTAGCTCTCAGAGAAAATTCAAGACATTCTTCTTGCATCTTAAAAACATGACCTTTATTGTTCTTCACGAGTTTTTCCCATTTTTGAATAAATTCGATTCCAATATCTCTAATATTTTTATACTTTGCAACAATAGCTTTTACAAAGGAATTATAATCAATATAATTGTTCCAGGATTTAAATTCATTGTTTTATTCCTCGTGAGGGATAAAT